CTGACTTCTGAAGACAGAGAAGAAGATTTTTCTTATAATGGCGCTAACAATGAAAAAGTGTTTGGAATCTCACCTGTTGCCACTGCCTTTGTATTGATTAACACTGAGACTGTGAAGTTTTGCAGATGCCAGGGCTCAGGAGCGATTCTTTGCTCTTGTGACGGAAGAAGCCTGTATATAACACTGCCTTAAGACCACACTGCACCTGAAGGAGGATTAGATTTTATTGTTTGTGTTGCTCTCTTGACAGCTTTTCTTTGGAGCCTCCCATAGAAGAGAGACTGGGATTTAAAGGCTGATGCCAGAAAGCAAAAGCTAATGTGAAAAGAATCCAAGTCTCTGTCCAGTGTGTGAGAATCTGCAACGGTTCATGGACAAGGAATAAAGCAATTAAGGCAATGTCAGGGTTATAATACAGAAGAACATATTTCAACCCGTAAAATTTTGGTTTGAGGGAAAATGTGTGAGGGTTATTAGAGTTCTTGGAGGTTGAGCTTGAGAAAAACTACTGGAAATACTGAGAGATTACTTTCTTCTATCTCTTTTTCTTCCCTGAGACTTATAAAAGCAGAAAAATGCAAGATTCCAAGCTTGTCTGGACATAGCTCCCTGATACCATCTTATTTCATATGGCCCACACTTAGATGTTCTAACTAGTTCTGACTCCTCTTAAGAGCACTGTATGTGTCTACAAGACCTCATCCTCATAGTGGACTCTCAGACCGAGAATCCCTGGTGGTATTATAGAAGCCTCGCAACATATCCAATAATACCATAATGATCTTGACCTCCTTTCTCAGTCTTCATAAATTCTGCTTTTAACAGAAGAAGCATTTTTGAGTTAAATATGTATATGTATTTTTTCAATTGTTTGAATTTTTAACTTTTTTTCCTTCAAACTAAAACCAAGAGAGGATTTTCAAGAACCGGTGGGCTGCTGGACTGGTAGGGAGGGGAGTGAACAAGTAAACCAACCTGACTGACCTGCTTTCTTTTTTTTAAAGTATGCAGTGATATGATCATTCGGTAAGATACAGCTGAGTATTACACCTTTGGGAAATTCTGGCTCTCTGTTTCTTTCATTGTGGCTACTTTGTTCAGGATGTGTAGGCAGTGCCATTGCAGCCAGAGAAACCTGATCAAATTTCCTTCCTTCCCATCTTATTTGTATTCTTTGTGAAAAGCCCAAGCAGTTGTTTTAAACAAGTCTGGCCACTCGTTAAAGTTTGAACTAGTAGTGAGATCCATCAGGAGTGAAGTGTTTCTGACACTTTCTGCTGCTCCTGGCCTAGGGTACTAAGAGTATGAGATGCCGGAAGCAGCCAATTTTGTAGTGTCTTTTAATACACAAAATTGTATTAACATCAACATGGATACAGATGGATGCACTGCAATAAACTGTAACCACTTGAGAAAAGCCTTTATTGACTCTCAAGTAAATAATGCACATTTTAAAGGATCTAAATATGCATTTACATAATGTGCTATAATTTTTTATCATGTCAACTACTCACACGCACACATCCATAAGACATGTTTTTCTTCGTCAAAAATCTGGACTCATACCATTCTTTGTGCATTCCATTAGCATCATGCCAAATTCATAATGGTAGTTTTTTTTCTATAAAACGTGATCTGGCCATCTCAAAATATGTTTGATGAATTTTACTCTTAAATTGATTTAACCCCAATGGCTCTTTCTAAAATGATTTGAGACAAATAAAAACTTAGGTACAGTAAAAATATCCAAGAAGAAGAGAGAAAACAAGAAATAGGAGAGAAGAAAAACAAAGTTAGGCAGGCATTGATGAAATCTTAATTCTGAGTTTCAGTGGGTTTCATTGTCTGGTAGACGAGGAATATAGCAGGTTATCCGGAGAAACAGCATCTATTTAATAATAATTACTAGAGCTTTGTGATGTCAGTAACGTAACTATTTTCTGTTTGAAGAAATGAAGGCTCAGGATCTGGAATGATTTCTTCCAGTTGCACAGTGAACTGACAACTGAACCAGGAAGTCCAAAGCATGAGAAAGTAAGGGTTGCAAAAGATGACACTTTAAAATGCAGACTCGGCAATTGCCTAATTTGAAACTACAGGCTAAATGATTTCCTGGTATTAATTAAGAATTGATTTTTATAAATCAGTCATTGTAGAATTAATTCCATACAGTACCATATGTTCTTGTGTTTGTGTTAAACTCTATTCCACAAGGAAATAGTGAATAAATTGTTTTTAGTAAAATAAAGAAATGAAGGTCTAAATTTAAGTTGCTAATGATTGTCTTTTAGGTATTTAACGACAACAACAAAATGAGAGAAAGGATGTTTATTAACAGTTAATGGGGAGATGACAGGGTGCTTTTGAGTTATTTCTTTTGTCTCATTTCTTTAAAGATCAGTTCTGCTTGATCTTTGCTCAAGTGAATTTTGTTTGGGCAGCGTTCTCTGTTGGCCACCATGATTTCGTAATCTAACAATTTCCCATCACTTTCCATTGAGCACGAGGCAGCAGCACTTTATCTTCAAAGTCAGCCTACCAGGGGCTCTTGGCAGCAGATCGACACCTTTGTGTTTGACACCCTGCAAAAGTTGAGTGTTTTGTTTAGTTAGGCTCAGTACATCCTCAGCCTAGTTTGGGAAATACCACATTCTGTCCTTAACTAGTGACTGTTCCATCAGATGCAGGGTACCGAGTGAAAGTTTCTTGCCACCAGCAAGGAGGACTGTACCATGTTAGATGAAAAAATTCCTTTGATTTTTTAAAGCCAGTAGCATAATTTGCAGAGTAAGAGATGACCAGAGCCATTTAACTTTTTAGCTTGTGGGTTTTAACTCAGCAACAACAATAGATTCCAAGATTTATCATTCATTGTAGGAAGTCCTAAGTTTTGCTCATTTTTCTTTTTTTTCTTTTCTTTTCTTTTTTTTTTTTTTTTTTTTTTTTTTTTGAGACAGGATCTTGCTCTGTCACCCAAGCTACAGGGCAGTGGTGCGATCTTGACTCACTGCAAGATCCACCTCCCAGGTTCACACCATTCTCCTGCCTCAGGCTCCTGAGTAGCTGGGACTACAGGCACCCGCCACCACGCCCAGCTAATTTTTTGTATTTTTAATAGAGATGGGATTTCACCGTGTTAACCAGGATGGTCTCGATCTCCTGACCTCATGATCCACCTGCCTCGGCCTCCCAAAGTGCTGGGATTACATGCATGAGCCACCATACCCGGCCAGTTTTACCCATTTTTCTAAAAGCTCCCTGGTTCTTGGCCAGGTGGAAAAACCGAGTTTTGGTTTTGGCAAATTTTATTCTATGTTTAGTGGTATGATTATCTTATTAACCTCTGTTTAAACTTTCAGTCATTCACTGCACATTCAACAAATATTTATTGAGTGCCAGACTCAGTTCTGGGGATATTGCAGTGGGTGGAAAAGCTATTTACAAAGATGGAGAAGACTGGGAGAATCGTAAGCTTGAGAGAAGAAGGTAATGAAAATTCGGATTCAAATAGGCTATGTTTGAGAAATCCTCAATTGTATGACCGAGGGCAAAATTTCATCTGTTTCAGCTCAGATTTGTTTCTTAAGGCCATAGTAGGAGCCTATGAATATTTATTGGGCAGATTAAAGATTGCATGAATTAAAGGGTTTCATCAGACCACCTGCAAGACATGGATTGGAAAGTTGTTTCCACTCCAATCGCCTATTTCCAGTCTTTGAAAACTACAGATGTCACTCTGAACCCCACAGTATGAGCCATTTCAGTCATGAGTCAGAAAGTGCCCCAATCATAAAGAAATCCCGGTAGGAAACAAAGAACCCATGTCCAGCAACTAATACAGATGCATTCTTTTTTACAGCCCTTACCCATGCAAGTGGGATAGTGGTAGAAGTGGTGGCCTGTGTTACTGGGTTTCTCTTCAGTATTATGAGTCATTCTTGGTATAAGAAAGGTCTTATTTTCCAAAATGTGGACATTCCTGTGATTTTTAGTTTAAAGTTTTAAACTGAAGAAAATAAAGTAAAGATAAATACTCTCATCTCTAATTTGGGAGAGGTTTCTCTGGCTCTCATTGAGAAGTAAGAGCTGCTATCTTGGCTTGACTTAGTTTGAATATCTTCAACCTTCCCATGCACTGCTCTTATCCTCCAGCCAGTTTTATCAATCATCCTTCTAATTCAAGGGCGAAAGTTCTCTTAGAGAAGTTATTAGGCACCTCACATAAGTTTTTTTTTAATCTAATGTAATCTTCTTGTTCTCATGAAATTTACCAGGGTTCAAATGTAAGGGAGTAGTAGTTGTCTGAGTCTTTTATCAGTTTTTGTGGGCACAGGGCCAACATTTTAGCAGGGGCCACTGCCTGCTTACCCTGTGGGTTCCCCTGCTCTAACATATATGCATTTCTGAGTTTGGCTTTGAAATATCATCTGAAGGCGACATAAACCATCCGTGTAAAGTGAGGCACCCAAATTGCATGGGTTCATTAAGTGATCATTTACTACATACTTCAAAAAATTTTCATCCTGAATTAGTCCCTAGAAATTTCCTTGAAAGGGGTATAAGAGCTTTAACAATGAATTATTGTCTATGGATAGCTCAGCGTGAAAGGGGATCCATATGTGCAAACTAGAATTTGTCATATGTAATGTCAGTTAAGTCAGGTCTAATCTACCAAATACATTTTTTATTGCTTGCTTCATTAAAAAAGCTCTTAAGGTAATGAATAATCTTCAGCCTCACCAAGGATTATTAATGCCTTTATAACTCATGTCCACTGAAAATAGAAAGACAGCTTGAAACTCTACCCTAATCTAACCTCCATGTTTGTCTTAGAGCCATAAGGAAGAAAATCTGTCAGACCTATCCAGTGTTAAATTCAGTCACATGAGCAATATTGTGAATCAGGCCAGGAAGAGAAATAAAGGAGGAAGTTGAATCGGGTTCAGCTATGACAAAGCAGGTCTGTCTTTTCATAACCCTGATGTTTTCTTTTCCTGCAGCAAGTCCACATGCAACACCGTCGACTCTTCATTTCCCGACATCACCCATTATCCAGCAGCCTGGGCCTTACTTCTCACACCCAGCCATCCGCTATCACCCTCAGGAGACGCTGAAAGAATTTGTCCAACTTGTCTGCCCTGATGCTGGTCAGCAGGCTGGACAGGTGGGGTTCCTCAATGTAAGGAAACCTCTTTTTTTTCCATTTCTTTAGAAATGTTAGCCGAATATAAAAATAACAAGGGGAGACCTTATGATCATGTGACATTGTGCTCTAATGTTGTGCTGACTGACTGCAGACAAATGTCATATTTATTCTAGATTGTGGGAAAGTTAATTTGGTCTAAGAGTGATTAGTCAGGGTTTAAAAACAGTGTTTGTGTTAAGTTTGCAACTGTCAAGTTTATGGATATAAATCAGCTCAAGGGTGAACTATATAACCTTCTAAGTTCTGTGGGCTGATCATTCCACCTCGTGCATTCTAACCCCAGGGCTCATACAGTTAACAAAATAGAAAGACCAAATAGTTTTAAATAATGATTTGGGGCGGTAGAGAGAGGTAGGGAGATGAAGGGGACAGATGTTTCAGATCAACTAAGTTGATATTTTTGAAAAATACAGTCTTCTAACACTTTAGATCAAGTTGACCAGTACTTGAACTCAAGATGCTGAAAGTACAGTTTATTATGGTTTGTTATTTCTGCAAGTCATTATCTTTCCCACTTATCTTGGTATAAAGCTAAACAGTGTTCAATAGCTTCATGTGAATGTTTTTATTTTTCTTCAAATAAACCAAATAATCACAATTTGAAATGGCATTCCAAATATAAAAGTGATTTTTAAAAATCAGAAGTTTTATTTCAAATATAGGATTAGATGTTTACAGTATATAGCTGTATCCCAAGGCCAATAATAATAAACAGTGGCCAGCATAAAGCCAAATTTGATTTTCCTTTTCTACTAATAACTGTGCATGAAGTCACAGATTAGCCATAATTATTACTGGCTAATTTAGGATAGTATGTCACACCATCCTGTCACTGATTTTTTCACTTGCAGAAATACCTGATTCTGCATCTCTGAGCCAGAACAGGCAGCTTTGACTAATGTCTGGTGATGTGTTAGCAGATACATTTCTGTCTAGACAACAAATCAATATGGTGCCTCTTTTCTTTTTGCTTGTATATTCATTTGCTTGGCTTATTCTAAAGCATTCACTTATGGACTCTCAGCACACTCAGAAATAACGCAAAGGCAAGGTTGCTGGCAAGAAAGCACAGCGTTCTGATCATCAGACGTGGTAGTCTTTGAGGAGCAATACTAAATGTATAAGTAAATGTTGATGGGGGAGTGAGACTGCCTCTGTAGAATTATTAAGCTTAAATGTAAAAGCCTGGGACAGCAGAATCTCCTTCAACCGAATTTTGATTGGGGACTAAATGTGAACTGTTGTTGTTGGTTGAATAGAGGCCTCTTGGGAAACAGTGAAAAAACTGAACTGATCACTAGCATCAAGCATCCGACTTCTAAATTTTTAACCATTTTTTTAATAGTCCTGACACCCTATATAACTGTCAAATGCCCAGTTTAGCATTTTGATCAAAATTTTATAGGACTTAAGGCAGGTCTCTTCATGAAACTATTTTGAAAAAATTGAAAATAAAATGAGTTTTATTGCTCTCTTTAGAGGGGAATTTTTTTGTTAAAGAGCTGTTATTTGGTTGTTTTAACATCAGGCAGCAAAATAAATATGACTCTTACGGCATATGCTTATATAATTTAAATCAAAATTAGAAGTGATATTTTTCCCTAGCAGACTTCTGACAGCTGAATTCTAAAGTTTGTGTGCCTGATGTTATACAATATGTGAACAAAATTTTCTATGTTCACTTAACACGTTTATTAAATGTTATATAATATCAACTTTAAAGAGTGAAAATAAAATATTTTTTTTCTCAAGTGCATATTTAGGAAACTTTGCTATATCTATGTAAAGAAATATAGTGGAATAATAGCACAGTCCATAAAACACTTAGATGTTAAATATTTAATAATCATGAGGAAGATAATGAAGGTAGCATTTAATAACAGAAAAATATAAAACATTCCAAGCAAAAGTTTTACTCAGGTGACAAATGCAGAGTGATGACTGGCAGGTGGTTTTATGAAATCAGATGCAAAGAAGGACAATGTAGTTAAAGAAATAAGTTTAGGATGCATGGAGCGCATGCGGCTAACAGTACTTTTGTGAAATGCCTGAAGAACAGAACCCAACAATGGACATTTCTATACGGACTTATGGAAGAATTCAAGCAGCTAGATACTTAGTAATTTACATTAAAGGTGCCTGATGAATATTTTGTTTTCAGAAGCAGCTAATGGTTGCTGTCTCTTTCTTCTTTTTCTTGTATGTGTGTTTTCTGCCCCCACCCTCACAGCCCAATGGGAGCAGCCAAGGCAAGGTGCACAACCCATTCCTTCCCACCCCAATGTTGCCACCGCCACCACCACCACCGATGGCCAGGCCTGTGCCTCTGCCGGTGCCAGACACGAAGCCTCCGACCACGTCAACAGAAGGAGGTGCAGCCTCCCCCACGTCACCAAGTAAGTATGGCTGTGACAAGGCGCCGGTCACTTATAAAGCTGTATGCACTGGAATCCACACTTAGGCTTTGTCCCTCACTGTATAGGCTCTAGAAAGAGGCACAGATCCCCAGTGATGTTGTAGCATGAGTTTACCAGAGTAAGAATCAAAGTGAACACGACTCTTGGGTACTCTACCAGATGAGGAAAACACTGGGTGTTGGGTGGATGAGATGGTGTAGCTACATACCTAGGACTGAAATCAAGTTACGAGCTATTACATTTTGTATATTATTTGAGGGACTTCAAATGCTCTTCCCGTCGTCAAGCAGCAGCTACTTGCATGGATTCTGCTTAGAAAAAGTTCCTCATTCTTACGGACAGCCCTGCCTTCCAGGAACTTGCAGTCTAAGAGAAATGCACTTGAAAGTTATATACCTCATACATCAATAGGAGAAAATGTCTAGATCAAAGCATCAACTCAAAGGTGTGTACACTGACCATTCGCTAAGAGTAAGAGCCTGGCAGAAGATCAGTGCTAGTAGCCCTGGCTGTTGCATGGTGAGGTTTGGCAGAGGTTGGGGTGGGGGATGGGGGATGGAGATAGAGGGGAGAGTAGGATGGAAGCAGGAGAGAACTCTTGGCTCTTCTCTGAACAGTCTGAGAACATTTAATCAAAGAATATAAGATTTCACAACCCTTTTAGGTGATGGGAATGATTACTTGAACTAGAGAGAGAATAATTCTCCAGATATTCCCGGATGTTTTAGAGGTGGCAAGGGGATGGAAATAGTTTGAATGCACAAATGTGGCTTTTATTAATGCCTGGAATAATGACAAAAAGACTGATGACTGGAGTTCCTAGGGGATGGATGCCCTAGTCTTGATAGATGGTGTGATGAGCACCTTCCCTAAAGCTGTAAAGAGGCAGCAAAGTATAAGAGAAGGATAGGAACTGTGACAGTGTGACCCTAAGGGAAGCTTTCAAGGGGGTTGTCAAAAGAGGTGAGACTGAGGCAAGGAATCTATAGAGGAAAGGATGTAAGAGCAGTGTAGGAAATGAGTGTTAAGGCCAAGAACTTGAACCACAGTGATAGATGTAGAATGGAACAGGACATGGTGGGGAGTGTTTTGTAGACATAAGCGTTGGGATTGGGCCGTCCTCTGGGTGAATACAGTGAATGAAGATTCTGGGCCTCTCAGCTTCCTTACCTTCAGTATTGGAATAATAATGATATTGAATACAGGAAGAAAGAGAGAAAGAGGAAAACTGAGCCCCTGTTTATGCCATGTTCATAGAATTTGATTCTGGAGGCACGGAACCCAAATGGCTAGAGGCCCTCATGGACACATCAGAGAGTGAGCTTTGGATTATCCAGTATTTATGCATTTTGATAATATACGCAGAAATGAGCAGCACTGTGCATGGATTCTGTATCAATAGCCAAAAGATTGAAGGTCCACGGGCAATCTAGGGGAGAACCACTTCTCTTGGTAAGATGTGGTACAACACTTGTCAACAAAGGAGAAAACCGTAAGCGTCCAATGTCAGAGAAGCAAGCTGGGCTTGGCCCATGGATCTTAGAAGCTCAGCTTAGAAAGAAAGCCTCTGCTTCTCAGAGGATTGAGGCTTCTTCAAAGATGTCACATAAATACACAATAAGTGCCCTGCTTGTTGTGTATTTATGTAACATCTTTAAACAACTCAGAGAAATAACTGCCCCAGACTTTACTTATATCTGTTCCATGAGGATGTTGGCTTACAGATTATGCCTATTGTGCCCTGTCCATGCCTCCGCATACCATTTGCTGCTCGTCTTCTCCCTGTCTGTGCAGGACATTGCCAGTCTTTTAAAAGCTGCATAGTAATATGCCATCAATTCCGTGGAAACAGATCCTCACCTCCACTCTCAATGGCTCATGTGTCATGAGTTTTTCAGTAATGGGAATGAGGCTCTGCTGAGGCACGGCAGAAGAGTGGAAATAGCAATGTGTGGCTGTTCAAGTCTGAAGGATGGGGGCTCAAATGCCCACCTTTCAAATTACTAACTGGGTTTCTCTTTGAATCAATTTCCTCTTCTGTAAAATGTAGATGATAATATCTACCTGGCGGTAGATATTTGTGTGAGATCAGTTCTGATCATTGAAGTATTTTATTATCTGCCTAAACTCTTACATAGTGGAAGGCTCCAGGCTTGGGTAATGGTAAAATATATCTGTAGGACTTGGAGAAGCTACTCAACCCCTAAATTGAGTTGATGTCTTTGGATCCATAGTTCTGGACTCCACTCCATGGATTGAACCAAGCACTATGTATAAGATAATACCTATCATTCTCTTGTGCCCAGCCTCAGGCATCTTGTCAGCACTAAGGGGAGAAGGGCAGAGGGAGTCTTGGCAGATCCAACTCATACGGTTGCATGTTAGAGCAGCACTTAAGATTTGGGGTAGGGTGGGGATGAGAGAATATCAGCAGAAAGAGTCCCAGAGCTTGATACAGATTTGATACTTTTTGAATCATGGGATTCTAGAAATATAGACAAAACAAAATGTTCTACTGATGACACAGAAAGGTTTTTATCATCATTCATTTTAGCCCTTATTCAGCTAAAGGCTTTTCTAGGGTATGATGAATTCATAGTAATATGTAGTTTCACAGCATACTATTGCTTACCATTTTCTGCTTTCTTAACAAGATGGTGTTAGGCTGGGAGAGCTGTAATTTATAGCGTAGGAGAAGTCTTTCAAATTAAAAATCTTGAATCTCACTCATCCTTATTTGGAGGGGATTTAAGGGCCCTCAATTTAAAGAGTCCTCTCCCATGCCCTGATTTCTAAACCAATTGATAAATAAAATACTTTTTAAAAATCAGAAGACAAAATATCACCTTTATTGTGAGAGAATTTAGTTTAGAACTGTGGCCAGGGCACTTCCTAACACTGAACCCCCAATTACACCATCATAGCTACCTGGTCACTGGCAGGGCTAGACCACAGCAGCCCTTCTTACATGTGATCCGCCCTAGCCTATAAAGCTGATGGCATGAAGGTGTGGGTGGCAGTGTGCTTCCCACCAGCACCTGTCCCCGAAGAGGAAGAGACGGCGTGGGGTGGTGGGGACTAGTCATGTCCAGTTTTTCCTTCGTAGCTCTACAACCTAGAGAGTAATAGGTGAGAGGGTGGAGAGAAGACAAGAGTAGATGGAAGGGAATAAATATCAGGAGTGAAGTAGCTTCCCCCTCCCTTAGCATTCATCTTTGACGACTGCCTTTTTTCATTTATTTATTCAGCCTGCACCTATCAGGCACCTATGATGCATCACGGCTGTATTAGCGCGTGGGATTCAGAGATGATGGATCCCTACTCTCAAGAAATGGGCATCTGTTGAGGGACACGTAAACAGGCAGTTTATACAGGATGACACTGGCATAAAGTTGTGTATAGGTGCCACAAGAAGACATGGGAGGGAGTTTGGTCCAGTGTGGGCCTCCAGGTAAACATATTTTAGAGGAGTTGACTTCTAAGCTGTTTAGTAGGGATAACATCCTGGTGTCTTAAGAGAATATAGAACTTTTCTTCTGAAACCAGCTTGGTGGCCTAAAATTGGATTACCACTAGATAAAAATGTAGGGCAAAACTATAGTTTCAGAAATCAGGTACTTTCTTAGAAATTAAAAACACAGGTTGAGCGGATTCTGTTTATCTTGTCAGTTTATCAGAGCTCAACTTTAGCAAGAAGGAACATCATGACAGGGTATTCAGTACATGTGCTCAGCATCCCAACAGTTTGATGTCTGAAATGGAGGCTCTTCTCAAAAATGTATACTGTGTGACGTAAGACAGCCTTTTCTATTTAGGAGTTTGAGATGACTTGCCATACAATACAATTCTAAAAGTAAATATAGGGACCGGGCTTGGTGGCTCATGCCTGCAGACCCAACCCTTTGGGAAGCCTAGGAGGGGCAGATTGCTGGAGCTCAGGCGTTCGAGACCAGCCTGGACAACATGGTGAAACCCCATCTCTACAAAAAATACAAAAATTAGTTGGGCGTGGTGGCGTGCACCTGTAGTTTCAGCTACTTGGGAGGCTGAGGCAGGAAAATTGCTTGAGCCCGGGAGGTCGAGGCTGCAGTGAACCAAGATCACGCCACTGCACTCAAGCCTGGGTGACAGAGTGAGACCCTGTTTCAAAAAATATATATATAATGAAAATAAAAGTAGGAAAACATGCCAAGTGCCTTCTGTATTATCAACTTTTCTAGGTCTCAACTCCCTTATGTGTTAGTGGAAATAACACTAACTGCTCTACTCACTCTCATAGTCAGATTAGCAGAACAAATGGGGTAACAGATGTGCTGTGCTGTAGACAGTTAAAAGTCCAAGGCATCATTTTTAATATCCTCTTATAATGAAATACAAATGGATGCCAGCCTGGAGCAGAGTATGTATTTTTTCACTAATCAGTTGCCTCTGGCACTAATACTAAACTTTGCAGCTGTGGCCAGAAAAACAGGGGGAAGGCAGATCTGGGGGGAAAATAATTCCTATGAAATAAATACATTTTAATGGGAATAATCCTTACCAGTGCCCTAAGAAACAGGGAAATGGGAATGGAGCAAGAAGAATTTTTATACTGTTGATTTGTTTGGAGAAAGATTGCTAGACTATGCTAGGTGTCTTTAGGATACTATGACAAATGGAAGCATGACCTGTAAGAGCATTTCACAACCAATGTGCTCCATTCCCACAGATTAACGACCTGTGTGGGTTTTGATACCTACTGAAAAAAGACCACTTCTTTTATTTATTCAATAAATGTTTATTGAGCATCAGCTATGTGCCAAGCACTCTTCTAGGTGGTAAGGTTCAGCAGGGAATCCCTGGCCTTATGGAACTTTGATTCTAGAGAGGGAAGAAAGACAGTGAATGAAACAGTGAGTATGAAAGGTAGGTAGGATGTAAGTGCTACATAGGGAAATCAAGCCGAGAGAGGAGGGATGCAGCTCTAAGCAGGGTGATCA